ATTTAGGATATAGTAGTCAGCTTACAGAAGTTTTATGAATGCTTATTAAAATTTGTGTTGAAAAAGGAATCAAACCTAAATACAGAATGTTGTCTTGAGAAGTGAACAGCACAGTTATCTAGTGGAACATGTTTACAATCACCTTGCTTGCTAAGGCACCTGCGATAAACTGTTTAAAAATATCTTAGCCCCAGCCCTAAATATCCCCCTCTGCAATCATGCCTGCAGAGGAATTTCCTTTCTGTGGTCTTAGGGCATGTAAGTTCCTGTTCTGGTTATTTTATAGCCTGTAACTTCAACCCACCAATACTATAACAGTTAAAGATTATCAAGGCCAGAAGTATCAAAACTGTGAAGGACCTAAACTTGGTGCTTGAGTTCTTTGGGAGGAAACGCTGCTTGGATCTGCAGGTAGGAATAAACTTTCCTGATTTCTCCATGTGTGTTTCTTGATGTCTCAGTTTCCTATAACACAGCCAGTTCAAGGTCAGCTTGAGATATATGAGCCCATTTCAAAACAATTTTGGGGGGTGGGTCTTTTTTTTTCTGTCTTTTTGAGACAGGGTCTCCCTGTAGCCCCAGCTGTCCTGGAACTCACTATGCAGGCCAGGTTGGTATTGATCTCACAGAGATCTGCCTGCCTCTGCTTCCCAAGTGCTGGGACTAAAGGGGTGTGCCACTGTTATGCCCAGATCTCGCGACCCCCAATGACCACCAAGGAGTCCAGAGAGTATACTATGCCGAGTAAGGGGAGGATTCTTATTGGTAGGGGCTGTCTTTAGGGAATTGGAATGCACTGACTCTTATCTGTGGGCCAGAAGTTTCTGTTTTTACCTTGCTTCATCTATAGCTTTCCGGGATGGGGGTGGTAACTGAAGATCACAACATGCCTGGGCATGCCCAGGCTTGCCTGGAACAGCTAGTCAAAATGGAGTTAGTGCTGTCTTAAGCCAAGCAGATTACAGAAGCGGAAAGAAGCAGTTAGACGAGTCAGGGTCCTACACCACCACACCCAGCTTGTTTCAAAACAATTTTTTTTTTCAGGTCTTTTTGAGACAGGGTCTTCCTGTAGCCCCAGCTGTCCTGGAACTCACTATGTAGACCAGGCTGGCCTTGAACTCACAGAGAACTGCCTGCCTCTGCCTCCCAAGTGCTGGGACTACAGGTGTGTGCCACCACACCCGGCTCAAAACAATTAAAAAAATATTTTATTATTTTTAGTGTATTGAGTGTATTGCCTGCATGTATGTGAGTACACCTGTGCTGTACAATGCCTTGGAGGTCAGAAGAGGGCTTCAGATTCCCCTGGAACTGGAGTTAAGGATGGTTTGCAGCCAATTCCCAGGTGCTGGGAATTAAACCCCGGTCCTCTGCAAGAGCAGTCAGTACTCTTAACCGCTGAGCCATCTCTCCAGCCCCTTAAAACAATTTTTAAAATGTGTGCATCTCTTCTAATTGAAATGTGAGCTCCATGAGAGGAAGGACCTAGTAACAGGTACCCTCAGTACTAGGGTAGCACCTGGCACACTGATGGGGATAAATATATGCTGGGATGAAGATACAGATGGTGGCACCTGTGTGTGCACTGTCTGCAGAGGCCAGAAGAGGGCATGGGATCCCCTGGAATTGGAGTTACTGATGGTTGTTAGCTCCTATGTGGGTGTTGGGAAGCAAACTCAGGTCCTCTGAAGGAGCAGCCAGTGCTCTTAAATGCTGAGCCATCTCTCTAGCCTTAATCCTGTACTGATGTATTGAGGCAGTCTCTTCTCAGCTTTGAGAATAAGGGTTGTGAAATAAGATACTATAATTCTTTGGGAATGTGCCTTTTACCCTCCACTTTCCATCTCGGCTTCACAAGGTTACCAAGTCGAATTGTTGTTTAATGGGAACAGAGGTTCACTGCCACAAGACAAAGAGGCTGTGGAGGTTGGGCTGCACAACAAAGTCCATACCCCTACCAGTACTGACCTGGCCCCTTAGAAACACTTAACATGGTGAATTTTGTTATGCATTTAAACATTTTTTATTTTTATTGTATGTATATGAGTGTATTGCCTACATGTGTTTAAGTGCACCCGTGGGCTGCAATGTCTGCAGAGGATGGAAGAGGCTGTTGGATTACCTGGAACTGGAATTACAGACAGTTGTTAGCTGCCATGTGGCTGCTGGGATTTGAACCCCGGTCTTGTGCAAGAATAGCCAGTGTCCTTAACCAATGAACCATCTCTCCAGCCCTGTTCTGCATTTTTAAAACCAACTAAAACCATTTTTTTCAGTGCTGGGGCGTAAACCCAGATCTCACAGATGTTATGCAAGTACTCCACCACTGAGCTACAACCCAGACCCCAAAACATTTTTTAAAGGTCCTGAGTGGTATAGCTGAGCAGCTGTCCTTGGAGAAGGCCAATGCTTACTTTGAATGCTCTGGAAGGAAACAGGTGCCTCTGAGCAGGGAAGGAAGCAAACAAGTCTGAGACTAGACAGATAAGGCATGACTCAAGGATGGTTCAGCCAGGTTGAGAGGAAGCTTCCAACCTGGGGACGTGGAGCCCCAGGTAGGGATGCTGTCTGCACAGATTGCTGCACACTGGCAGAGTGGCCACCATGATTGCTGGGGATGCTTCTAATGTTCAGCATCTGAAGGATTTGCATTCAGATGAGAAAGTTCATAAATTTTTCATTTGCAGACTGCCAAGTTCTACTATGGTGTAACTGTGGAGTGGAGGCTTAGGCCAGAAGCCAGTAGCTTTTACAACTGCTATTCATCTGCCCCCACATCTCTTCCTCAGACCTCCAAAAGTTTTTCTTTTTCTTCAGGTCTCAGATTAAATGTTATCCCTTGAAAGTCCCTGATTGACATCAACCGAGAACTAGGGCAGTTCTCACATCTAGTCACATTTTCTTCTCACCTTGTGCGCCTGTTTCTTATCAACTTGGTTTTCCTGAATGTTCCATGAATAGGTACCAGGTCTTATTCCTGCTGTCTAGCAGGCCTGGCACAGAGGTACCAAGTATGTTAAAGAGCAAAGAACCACCAAGACGGGATGAGTTAAAAGTTCCTGCAAGATCTTTTCATAGATTCTTGATGTAAAGAATACAAACCATTGGGGCTGGAGAGATGGCTCAGCAGTTAAGAACACTGGTTGTTCTTGCAGAAGATCCGGGTTCGAATCCCAGCACCCATATGGCAGCTAATAACTGTCTTAACTCCAGTTCCAGGGGATCCAACAGCCTCTTCTGGCCTCTGCTGGCATTGCACAACATGAGGGGGGGGGTACACTTACCTACACATAGGCAATACATGCATACACATTAAAAAAAAAAAAAGAATATAAACCAGGATTCCTTATCTGTACACAATGGAGCTTTTTTTTTTTTTTTTAAAGACAAGGTTTTCCTATGTGGCACAGACTGTCCTGGGACTCGCTATGTGGTCTCAAAGCCAGTCAAATTCCCAACCCTTGTGCAAGCTTCTGAGTGCAGGATTACAGGCGTGGGCCACTATCCCTGGCTGGGTTCCAATGGCCTTGACCACTTCTCAGCTGTACAGCTGTATACAACACAGTCCAGCCCCGGGCCCTCAATTACAATTCTCTAAGGGGGAGAATGTGAACATACCTCACAGCAAAAAGCCTATCTAACAAAGGTAGAGGAAAAGGGCTTTGTGGCAGTTAAATGATCTGTAAAGAGCTATTACTGCCAGTGTGTACCGGGCAGGAGAGAAAGGCAGGAAACACCTTGGGGACACAAGAAAAGGAAAGGTATCTCCTCACCCTGGAATCCAATTGAAACCCCTTGCCAGCAAAGAAGAATTTCAGCACAATTAAGAATTTCTTAAGGCTTCTCTCTCTCTTTCTGGCCGTTAACCTGCAATTTTCTAGGAATTTCATTAGAAATCCAAATCACAGGGAAAGGACATGTACTAAACTCCCTGCCCAAGTGGCTTCTGGTTTCATTTTATCAGATTGTAATTTCATCCACAGCATCACCAGAGGCGACTCCCATATCTCTCTTATCAAAGGACAGAAGGAGGGTAACTTGGGTACTTTCTTCTAAGCATCTCTTTCTCTTTCCTGCCCTTGGGGCTTAAACTTGTATTAGAGTATCTTTACTAAAACCGCCAACTCAGCTTCATAAACTGGCTAATCCCGAAATTCTTTTCAGCCTCGAAGTCACGAATTTCAGTTAGCCCAGGTGGGGTCGAAGTCCGTAAAAGTCTGTTGCATCAGTCCCATCACAGCTCAAAGGGCAGGCCCAGTTCATTGCGCTTACCGCAAGGCCCGTCAGGCCCCGAAGTTCCCTCACCTGTAAGGTCAGCGGACCTTCAGGGCCCACTCCGAGGGGTTTTTCTGGAGGTGTAAATCCTCCCCTTCCTCGTCACCCCGCTTCGTCCTCTCCCCCTCCTCCTCCCACCTGCCCCAAATCTCGCCTGGACCCCTCCCCCCGCCAGCGGCGTCCTTCGCGGGCTCTCCTGGCGCGCCGCCTTACGTCATTAGTGAGGCGCCCTCTCAGCGGAAGGCCCGGGGGCCTGTGCTGCGTGTGACGCGGCCCGGGAAGGCCCCGAAAGGTGCCTGTAACCTCAGCAGTGCCGCCTGGGGACGCTTTGAAAAGCTCGGCGGGCGGCGACGAGGGGGGCGCGGCGCTGTCGGGGCGCGGAGCCGGGAGGCAGGAGGGGCGGCCCGGAGTTCCATCAGGGCCGGACGCGTGCGGGCAGCCGGCGGGGCTGCCCGGCGCGGGTGTCCCGGCGATGTGTGGCGCCGAAGCGGCCGTGGTAGCGGCGGCGGCGGCGGTTTC